ACATGGTTGCTTATGAATGTTTGCAAATTTGTGTTCTATGAAATACATAGTATGCTAAAGCAATTTCGATGGCTTTTAAGGTGGATTGTGTACTGTGAACCCTCTGCTTTGCAATCTCTGGGCCATCTAAAGTTGTAATATATAGCAAAACTAAAGCTGTAATAGGCATTAAACGATGTGAATTGCATTTAGTTTAGTGCTAAAAATACAGGACAGAAACGCTGAGTCCCTAAACAAAAACACACATTCCAAGCTGAGGGTGTGTGGTTGATTTGAAATTGGCCCTTGGGCCTCCCTTGCCATTTTTGCATGGACTGCTAGCACCTGTTCTGCCTCTATAGCGCTAAAATTAACACTTTACTAAGATCAAATTTGGCTCTCCTTGTCCTACCAACACAATGGTGAGCCAGTGATGGGGGGGTGAAGTGGCAATGGGCAGAGGCTGATTGTGTGGATGGTGGACGCACTGCTTAGACTGCCCGTGAATACTGAGGGGAGGAAGGTTCAGCACTTCAGTCAATCCAAACTAACATCTGAAATCTACACATGGAAGTAGCATAGCCCTATCTCTGGGTACTGAGGATACTTGCAAACTAGCCTTTGCCAAGTGGCAGCCACTTGAGCACTGTAGATACTGAAAGTATCATTCAGTTCCTCCACTATCGATGCTGAGAAGCAGCAGTGTGTACCATCTACAAGATGCCTTGCAGAAATTCACCAAGGCTCCTTGGACAGCACCTTCAAAATCAACAACTGCTGCCATCTAGAAGGATAAGGGGAGCAGATATGTGGGAGCAATGCAACCTGCAAGAGCTTCTACAAGCCTCTCACCACTCAGACTTGGAAATGTATTGCAGTTCCTTCAGTGTCGATGAGTCAAAATCCTAGAAATCCCTCCCAAATGCGATTGTGGGTGTATTACATCAAATGGACTGCAATAGTTCAAGAAGGTAATTGACGACCCAGCTAACAATACCCATATTCCGTAAGTGAATGAATTAAAAAGAAATATAACAATGATTCCCAAAATTTATTCGTTTTGCTTTTGTTTTCCACTTAGAAACAACAAGACGCAACAAGGACCAATTTCAACTCTCACTTTTATTTGGTAAATTTAATCATTCAATTTAAGAAAAGAAGCAGGGAGCAAAACAAAATTGTATAGATCATCAAACCTGTTTCCTAAAACAATTTCTTTTATTGTGGCTACTATCCATTCTACTTGATTTCTTGAGGGAGACAATCCAAATGCAGGTAAGATTTTCAAAAAAGTCTGCTTTATTAAATTTATCCCAATTCCCAAAGACAATCACCAACAATACAGGTTATTAATCCACATATACCATTAAACTCTGATCAGCTGTAGCCAACAGAAGATTATGGAGATGAAAGTGTTATCCATGCTGTATGATCCTATGACTCCAGTGCTTACTTTGGCCTTCAGTTTTATACAATGGCGAACATGTTCTGAAGGAAAGGGGGAAGGGAAGACTGTTGAATAGGTTGCATTTCAAAGTCTTCAACTAAAATTACTGACCTCCCATTTTCACAGTTTGATCGGTTTGATCATACAAGGTAGTGTGGTATGTTCAAGTACCTTCGAAAACATATGCATCAATTTACTCCAGGATATATTCTCTTTCCAGACAATATTCCCTGTTGTATTAACTATTGCTGTCACTCACTGAGGACCACTGATTGTTCGTATCCATTGGTGAGAGATAGTGAAAACTATTTTTCTCACCACTAACTGCAAATGTTATTCCAGTTTCAGTTGAAGTGTCTAAAAAGCCTGTTCATTATTAAAGAATCATAGAATCCCTGCAGTGTGGAAAGAGGCCATTTGGCCGATTGTGTCTGCACCGAGTCTCTAAAGAACATCCCACTCAAAGCTAGCCCCTTATCCTATCTCCATAGCCTTGCATTTACCATTGCTAATCCACCTAGACTGCACATCCCTTGACACTACAGACAATTTAGCATGGCCAAGCCAGCTAACCTGCACATCTTTGGACTATTATTGAGACCACACTTTTGATACATATACAGAATGCAAAAGTTTCTGATGTACCTTTGATTATAATTTATTTTACTACTTAGTAACTTATTTACATGTATTTTTAATTTAAAATTAAATATTTCGTTTTTGGTAATGAATATGCTGTGTGTGCAGGGTAAGGATTGATGATGCCAAAGTTATTAATGCAAGCTTTTCTGCATGCACTGAACAGAAAACATTCTAATGATTCCAAAATATTATTTAAAAGAACACACAAATCCTGAAATTAAAGAGAAATAAGTTAATGTGAGAATGTCTGCATGATTGAAAATGGTCTTCCTACTAATTTATTAAAAACATTAAACCATTCATTTTAGACAGGTTAACACCTCCAATAAATTGGCAGAGACAGGAATTTCAGATGAACATACTGGCTACTGAACCAGATTTAATTTCAGTGCCAGAGTATTTAGTGCCAATTTTGTTTGGAGAATTGCTATCTTGTTCAACTGAAATTGTCACTAAGGTAGTGATGGAGGGACTGGGAAAAATATTTTCATGCAGAAGATTGTGGAGCAAAGACTGTTTAACCAGGGATAGTGGATGATACAGAAATCACGTGTATGTGATGGGCCCCAACTGTACTGCCATATTAGCTAGCAGTTAATTATAATTATGTTTAGCTTTAAGTCTAGTTTACTCTTAAGTGTAAATTTATACACAAAATTCCAACTACCAAAAATGTAACAAACTAAAATCCATATATAACAACATTAACCACCACTGGCTTATTTTAAATATTTCTCTGTAATCCCTCAAGTTTCATCCTTTGCACCAGTTGTGACATCTATATTTATGTATGAACATTGCATAGGTCATTTTAATTAGTGAGTAGATAGTAGAGTAGATCAGTAGAGTATCTTAATTCAGACAAACAACAACTTGCGTGTATTTAGTGCCTTTAAAATATAGTGACATATTTTCTTTTAAAGGAAGATATTCATTTTACATTTTAGGTAGGACAAATATTCTGAAGTAAGACTGCAGTGTTGAAATAAGTATGCACATAATACAGCGCACATGTAGTTTTGTGAAGTCCATAATTTGATGTGAAAAAATGGTGGGGGAATAAACTCTGAACATGTCTTGTATCAGTGTATTTGTATAGCATAATAGGATAGGAGATTGCTGCAGCACACTTGAGAAGTCATTAATTTTGAATGGCCACAATATAATGATATCTGTGCAGCATTTTATTTTTCCTTTATATGGAGACACCAAATAAATATAACATCTCTCCAATTATTCTCTCAAATTAACATGCCTGGCAACCAAAAAATTGCAAACAAGCTGCTGAACAGAAGGCAAGTTGCTATTGCCCACTTCATCAAGCCTGACACTAGGCAGTGACACAGAAGTGAATAAGCCATCAAGTTCTACAGAGCTGCAGAATTTTCAGGGGTTTCAAGTTGACTGCACACCTATGGCTACTCGTTTAGCTTTGGTTCACCCATGGGTAGAATTAAAGCATGGACCCCAAAGATTTGAACATAATTTTATTTTGAAGTAGCTTGCTGATTTGAGGGTGGATGAGAAGAGGACTGATGCTTCTGCTTTCTGTTCCAGTACTCCCTGCTGAGTGCGTGTCAATTGTGAACACTTTATATGTGCGCCAAAGAGGGCCCACACCTCGCACGATAGTTAAGGGCATTCTCCTTGATCCCATGAGCTATGGCTGTGTCAATGGCAGACATGTGGGACAGGGGACTATCAGCATTTATGTCGCCTGATAGATTTATGGGATGTCCATAATTATCATACAAAATAATAGATTGGTGTTACAAGGATTTCTTTCTTGCTTACGTACAAGTTGACATATAATTGACCCAAATAAACCTGGCAAAACATGTGCCAATCGTTCTTCTTAGGCCTACAGAGTATGCCACATAAGAACAGGCAATTGCTACAAAACGATAACAGTAAGTCCTCGGCTGAATTCTTACACATTACTGTATGTAGGATCATTGAGTAATGAAAGCCACCAGGGGGCCTCATGGGTATACTTTTAAAATCCTTATTACTAAAATATTTTTGGAAGGATAATCAAAGCGGCGTCTCAGAAACGTAATGAAATCTACTAATTTGGAGAAGCAGTGAAGCAAGATTGTTCAATGTTTAGGACGTACCAACGAGGAAAAGTACTTTTGCTTTTAATGCATTTACCCTCCCGGGCTACGGTTGCTACGGTGACTATTGTTATTAGGAATAATAGGAAATAATGCAGAACACTGGAACTTTGTAAATCATCAGTTTACATATGTCGAAAGTTTTAAGAGGTATAAAAGAAAACCTTTTCATATCTAAAGCAGGAAGATGCTGCAAAATAAAGTCCACATTTGTACACTGAAACTTAGGTGAATGTTAACTTTCAAGTTCCTTCAGGCTGCATTTGGTAGCTCAACCATTCTTGCATCCTTCAAACGAATTTCTGAAAAGATTTGGTCGAAATCCTATGCTGTATACACGACCAAAGGAAACCTTTCAAGCAACGTGGGTCGGACATGGACACTGCTGCAATATCCTGGCAAATTTATATGGATACAAATGCAGAAAGCTTCTCTCACTGGGAATGCCTTAATTCCACTAACAGTTACCTTGAAGTTTAGATTTACTGGATCAAGTTTAAATTCCTGCGAAATATTTACTGAGCTGGTTAGAATTTAGGAGTTGGGAAAGCATATTCCTTTATTTCAAGGAACGTGGGTTGAGAAAAGTTTTGATGTGGGGGGGGGGCGGTGGGAAATCAAAATGTGCCGGGGGCTTGAAACAAAACATTGATTGATATCGATAATAAAGGGGATGCCTGGCGATCTCCTCATTCTCTAGGAGATTGTTGTCTTCAAGTGTACAACTTCCGTCCGTTAGTGACCCTCCCTTTCTCCCTCCCTCTCTCTCTCTCTGTCAGCCTGGCACATTGATTGAACTGAACTTTCTAATCCACAAGGCAGCTCCAAGCGCTCCCTCCACTGAGTTTGCAGTCTCCTACACAGAAAGCACCTTACAGCCCAGCACTGAAAGCTGTTCACGTTGTACTTATCTCCCCATGTTCGTTATGCCGCTGGACCAGCCTCGCTGACTGCTTTGTGTGTCAACAACAAAAAGAGTTTTTAATTCGTTATTTCATTCCCGTTGTCCTACTCTCCCTTTATTTGAGGATGAGCTGTTGTACAGGGCGGTGTACCCTCATCTTCCTATGTATCGTTCAGCTGGTGAGTGTAAAATCATTCTAAAAAAAAATGTCACTTATCAATGTGGAGCATTGTCTTCTTGAGTAGGTTTTTTTTAAAGTCGGTTGTTTTAATATTTTTCTGATTTATTTATCAGAACTTCCAGTCAGTCAATTGTTGGGTCAATGTACTTAATTCAATTTCTTTTTACAACATGATGAAATTGCAGTAACTCATGGTAAGGTTCAAAAGCGGGTTGGAAAACAGCCGACAGGTTTATTCATGCCTTCATACAAAAGTCTGAGTATCTCAGTGCGAAGCGTTGTGCTACCAGAGTCTTTGCAATATGTAGACCCCTGTCTATCGATATCATGCAGTGGGAAAGCAATGATTGAAGCAGCGGGTTATTGTGGCACAGCTATTTGGGATTAGTGCTGTGTTGTGTCTGTCCTGGGTTTGTCCGGGCGATCTGGCGCATCTATCGAGCTGGCTGTTTCTCTCTTTTGTTCCAGCGAACAGAAAGGGTGACGCAAGGATCCTTTTCAGCGAGAGAGAAAAAAAAACATTGGCAAGGCGGTATCCGACTTTGTTTTTAATGAACAACCTCATAGTATTTCAAATTCGTGCAATTCCCTGAATTGACACGGCAGCGTGTTCTGCACAGGATACGTTCAGAGTGAACCCTTCATTTCTAGCGTAAGGCGACAGGTCTGCGGCGCAGACTTGGTCATTTGTCACTTCAGGCAGCGTGAGATAACATGCGGTTCCACGCGTTTGGTATTGGGGCTTTAATCACTGTCACAAAAACAGCAGGAGAACTTAATTCCTGCATTTACCTCCCCCCCACAACCACCCAAAAGCATTTCAAACGGTTGCCCCTCGCACGATGCAAAACACGGTTCTCTCCCTCCGTCGCGTTTCAAACTATTTTTACCCACTTGGCCTTCCCGGGTTAATTTCACAACTTCAAAACTAACCAGCGCTTTGAAGTGAGAATGTCATTCAATGGCTGGTTCAAAGTCATTAAAATATCTCAAAATCAAACTGATCACGAGGAGCTGATGAAAGAATTCTAAGAACTGAAAGTAAATACACTCAAATTTAACTACAGTGCTTGTGAACAGAAAGGCCTTTGAACAGTTTTTTCAAAGCATGCTGCTCCCCGCTGCATGGACAATGGTCCGGAGAGATACATATATTGGAAGGCATGGGAGTCTGTCGCAAGAAGAGGCAACAGTAGTCACTTTGATTTGTGTCCTAAATAGAGCAAGATTCAAAGAGATATTTGCTCATAATTCAACACTGAATTTGCAATCTCATTTGGAGAAGTCATAATGATGGTTACCGTAGAAGATGAAAATATCACACTATTGCCCTCTGATGTAAAAACAGAACGTGCTGGAGAAACTCAGCAGGTTTAGCAGCATCTGTGGAAAGAGATGAAGAAGAGTCAGATTGGAGTCGAAATGTTTACTCTGCTTCTCCCCACAGATGCTGCAAGATCTGCTGAGTTTCTTTCGCATTTTCTGCTTTCCTTTCAGATTTCCAACATCCACACATTACTTTTATTAGAATGCACTGTGAGGAGTTTATTTGTCCTGCCTAGAGGAAACTTGACACCTGGTGCTGTCCTTGAGCTGGAAGTGCTCCGTGGTACCACCTGTTTCAAAAAGTAGAAGTTGTTTTGATGTTTAGCAATTTGTTTTTACTATTTGAACATTAAGAGGCATGCTTGTTGAATTATTGACTAAACCAATTCACGAATGTATTCTGCACATCATCCTTGTGTGATCGATTCAGCAAAGAAATGTGTAGCATTTTAGTCTTAGTTTAAGGATATAGTATCAATATTACTTATGGTCTGGAAGTAAATTAATATTTAGTTCACATTGTTTAATGTACAATTTTACTGGGTAGTGTTGCAATATAGGACATTTTGAACATTTTCTTCTCGTAAAACATTCATTCTGCAGAAGACATTGGTTGCTATATTTAAATAAAAAGAAGAATGCATAGCCCCTAAACATTTTGGTCCTGAAATTATGATTGAACCTGGATGGCTAAATTGCCCGTAGTGCCCAGGGATGTTTAGGTTGGGTGGGTTAGGCATGGGAAATCAGGAGTAGGATAATGGGTCTGGGTGGGATGCTTTTCAGAGGGGTGGTGTGGACTTGTTGGGCTGAATGATTAATTTCAAACACATTACATTGCCATCATAGAATTCCTACAGTGTGGAAACAGGCCCTTTGGCCCAACAAGTCCACACTGACCCTCAGAGTATCCCACCCAGACCCATCCTCCTATAACCCACCTAATCTACATGTCCCTGAACACTTTGGGCAATTTAGCATGGCCAATCCACTTAGCCTGCACATCTTTGGATTGTGAGAGGAAACTGGAGCACCCAGAGGAAACCCACGCAGACACGGGGCCAATGTGCAAACTCCACACAGACAGTCGCCCGAGGGTGGAATTGAACCCAGGTCCCTGGTACGATGAGATGGCAGTGCTAACCACTGAGCCAACGTGCCACCCCAAATGTGAGCAAAATTGTTATATTGCTTATTATTTAGCATATTCTTTGTTTCTTGAAGTTTAGCATGGCACGTTAAAGGATTAAAAATGAGTTTCATTAACAGAAAAACATACCTGCACTTTTAATATGTTAGAGATTTTATTAATTTTGTCAGATATAATGCTTCCTATTCAACGGATTAAATACATTCAATTCAACTTCAGTCATCTTTTAGAATTTGTTTAAATGTTCAATTTATTGATCCTTTCTGAACTTGACTGTTGCCCTATGTTTAAATAAAGACAATGTACTGGGAAACTGGAGATCTGAAATAAAAACAGAAAATGCTGGAAAAACTCAGTAGGTCTGGCAGCAGCTGTGGATAGAGAAGGAGAATTAACATTTTGAGTCCAATATGACTCTCGACAGAACATTGAAATTGAAACCGAACACGGCTGTTTTGGTTCCCAATGTTCCAGGCCTTGTTGAGCCTCATAATATATGCTGAAAACTTAATTGTCAATGTTCTATGATCAGACAAACTGCTTTCATCAATAGTGATATAGTACACAATGTTGGGAATCTGAAAGAAAAGGAAGGAGGAGAAGTGGAAAAGTAACTGATCAAAAGTCGACAAAGATTATTGTTGAATTCATTGGCGCATTATTACCAGGCATTATTAGTGGGGTCACTTTCTAAGGATACGGGGCAGGCCATTTAGGACTGAGATGAGGAGAAATTTCTTCACCCAGAGAGTGATGAGCCTGTGGAATTCTCTGCCACAGAAAGTGGTTCAGGTCAAAATATTAAATATTTTCAAGAAGGAGTTAGATGTAGTTCTTAGTGTTAAACAGATCAAAGAGGAGGAAGCGAGAACACAATACTGAGTTGGATGACCTGCCATGATCATATTGAATGGCAAGGCAAGTTAAGGGGATGAACGGCCTATTCCTTCTCCTATATCCTATTTTCTATGTTTGTATGCAATCTTATTTGTTTTATATATTTTGTGTTAAAATTGCTCTCTTTATGAAGGATATAACTTTCCCCTCATTACTATTGAACCTGCTAATTAAATTACATGAGCAGAAATTGCAGTTTGGATTTTAACTAACAGACTGATTTTAGTGGAGATGGCAGGTTGGCAGCCCTGTGCCTTATGTACATGTCTTGGTCTGTCTTGAGAGCCAAACCTCATTAATGAATGTTACAAAATCTGTCCAGGGTGTGTAATCCACCCATTCCAGCCAGGTTCAACATTGGGTAATCTCAGCAGTAAGAATGATCAGGAAAAGGATAAATAGAGGTACGTAAAAGTGCTGGTGGTTGTGATCGCTGTAGTTGGGAGGTGGGGTTATTGGATGTTTTGTAGGATTCTGAAGAAAAGCTCCTTTACTTCCTGTCCACTGCCTCTGCAGTCACCTGACCTCAAACGTTCAGAAGGCTGTTAAAATGATGTATTTTGAAGGATCGAAAGCAAAGCAACAAGTTCTTTGTTACAATTTTAAATCCATTACCACATTACTTCCAGCGGTAGGGGCTCTGGAATGAGAACTAAAATCAGTTGCTATATGTTGCAAAACCCTTTGTTATTGCAAATCATTACCAGGCTATTAATGGCAGAAAATAAAATCGACAATATGCCGCATCCCAATAAAAGAAAGCCCTCACTGACCATTCACATGTATTTGTAAGTATTTGCAGTCAATAAATGTTTGATTGCTGTCTGATGAAACATATAGGTTGATATTGTTAGACATGCAACCACATGTGAGTAACCAGGGGAATATCGAGGGAATCTCTGGGATTTACAGTGGGAAGGAAGAGAAAGCAACTATGTCAGAATGATTTGGGGCAGGCGCATCCCTATGGTTATGCCCATGACCAAAGAGAGTTCTTTGATATAATTTGTAAGTTGATTTAACTTCACAGTGTGGTCTTTAGTAAATCACACACAAGTCTTCAAAATGACTGTGAAGCTCACTGATGAAATAACAAAAGCGTGACAGTGTGCACTGTAAATATTGTGGTGTGGCACAGTGAATATCCATGTCAGCATACATCGTTGTCCAAAACATAACATGTCGTATAGGCGAAGTTAAGTCTCACTAATATTTCAAACTGTGGCAATTATGTGACTATTGATATAATTAAGATGCATGCTTTCAAGAAATGTGGTAATTATTTAATGGAGTCGATGGGGGTTTTGGACTGGGTTCTGCCAGAACTCCACCCATTGGAGGCCCAGGATCATTGTGGATCCAGGTCATAGGTGAATGGTGACTGAGGGGTATCATGGAGAATCACAGGGTGTGGTTGGCAGCAAGATGGCTCACAGCAATTCTCCCCTCTCCATTGCTGAGCCTCTTCTTCCTGTTGCCAGTTTCCTTAATCAGGCAAAGAGCCTTTGCATGAGAAACTCCCTGGAGGTCCATAATAATCCTGAGAGGGCTTGTGTTGTGGTCTCCCAGCTTGGAGACTGCCCTGTCTGCCATTGGATGAATATCAGCAATAGTGGGCTGAGGTC